TTTAATATATTATTAAAATCTTTAAGGTCAAGAGATGAAGCAAAATCTTGTCTTTATTGAGCAAAATATAATTGGGTAGAACAAGGGGAACTTGGTATTGACCCTACACATAGGAGAGTCTTTTTATTTTTAAATCCTCACCTGAGGATATGTTTTTATTGATTTGAGAGCGAGAGAAAGAGAGAGAAAGATTGAAAGAGAGAGCGAGAAAGAGAGAAACATCAATGTGTGAGAGAAACATCAATTGATTGCCTCCTATACACACCCTGACCGGAGTGGAACCTGAAACCTAGATATATGCCTTGACTGGGAATTCAACCTGCAACTTTTTTGGTGTACAGGGCAATGCTCCAACCAACTGAGCCACCCAGCTGTGGCAGGAGACTCATGTTTTAATCAGCTTATTACTTCTGAGTCTTTCAACATAATTTATTTAAGTATGTGTTTGGAGAGTTTAAGGAGTCTTAAACTGTTTACCCCATGTGATGTTGCTCCCAACTTTCCCCTCATTCTTTCACTGCTCTGATCTGTCACTTCCATAACATTTCTTTGTTTATTGTTTTTCCTGACCATCTCCCCACTGGGGTAAAAATAACAAGGGGACAGGGCATTAACTTATCTTGTACACTGCTATAACTCCAGTGCTTAGGAAAATACCAAGCACATAGTATGTCCTCAATAAATAGTTGTTCCAATGAATGCATGTTTCATATTTACATATTAGCCAGTAGAGTGATTACATCCTGATATTAGAAAAAGAAAAGAAAAGAAAGAATTAGGAAAGGAAGGAAAGAAGAAAGGAAGAAAATTGTCAAAGCTTCACATTATTTAATCTCTCCTGATCTAGAGGCCAACTACTGCAGGATATATCACCTAGAACGAAGAATTCAAAATAACAGAGACAGCGAAAATGGTTCCCAAAACACATGATGTACAATAAGGTGCATCACAACAAATTGATCACGAATAAATACTATTTAAAAAAGCAACTATATCTCACTAATTCAGATTTGAAAATAGAAGAACCCTATTGGGGTTGCCATAAGTCAAAATACTAAATAGGTTAAGGGAGGAATTGTCCTAAAGTGTTATTCCTTCTACTCACGTTCACACACAGGGACACTGCTATTCCAGAGGCTCTCCATTCCAACCAAGACACAATGGCTGGCAGAGCTGCCCTGTAGATGGAATCTAAAGAAGAAAATGGTAGTGCATAGGTGAGCTGTTTCAGTTGGCAAAACTCTGAGGCCCGGCTGAAAACCTTAGCATTCGAAACCAACAGGTGGCAGAAGCTTGGAGGCCATATTGATCTAGACCAGCGGTTCTCAACCTGTGGATCGTGACCCCTTTGGGGGTCGAACGACCCTTTCACAGGGGTTGCCTAAGACCATCGGAAAACACACATATAATTACGTATTGTTTTTGTGATTAATCACTATGTTTTAATTATGTTCAATTTGTAACAAAGAAAATACATCCTGCATATCAGATATTTACATTATGATTCATAACAGTAGCAAAATTACAGTGATGAAGTAGCAACGAAAATAATTTCATGGTTGGGGGTCACCACAACATGAGGAACTGTATTAAAGGGTCGCGGCATTAGGAAGGTTGAGAACCACTGATCTGGACAAATCACAGCCTCCAGTTAGGGAGGACAGTTAGTTGGTCACATAACACATAGTTCCAGGCTGAATTGAAGAAGGCAGTCAGAGCATAGCCACCATCTCCTTGATCCTGGACCCAGATTCTGAGAAGTTAATCTCTAGCTGATCATCTCAGGATAAACCTGATAAGTACTCGTCATATGGGAAACCCAGTCTTCTAATGCAACAGACTCCTAATTCTCCTAATTCTGATACTGGAACAGTGAGTAAAACAGTTCCCAGGTTGGATGGAAAAAGCAGAGAGTAACTGGAGAGAGCACAAAGATTGTCCTTTTGTCTCTATGGCTGTGATGGCTGTGAAGAAGGCACGTTGGGCTATTGAGTAAGTTTGAATACTCTAGGCCCTCTAGGGGAAGGGAACGGAGATCAGAAATGACTTTTGTATGCGATCATCCAGAATGGTCAATGTATGTGGGACCCCGATGGCTCCTAAATCTTATTGGGTGCTGTCATTGGGTGCCTGCCAGGATTCTTTGAAACAGTCTAAGGCAGTGGTTCTCAATCTTCCTAGTGCCGCGACCCTTTAATACAGTTCCTCATGTTGTGGTGACCCCCAATTTCATTGTTACAAATTGAATATAATTAAAGCATAGTGATTAATCATAAAAACAATATGTAATTATATATGTGCTTTCCGATGGTCTTGGGTGCCCCCTGTGAAAGGGTTGTCGACCCCCAAAGGGGTCGCGACCCACAGGTTGAGAACCACTGGACTAAGGTCAGGTCCTTCTTTGCTCACACTGGATCCTTCCCATGCAGAGATGAGCACACTGGGAAGAGCACCAGCCTCACATGAACAATGTCGTTACCTAAAACATTCACCAGCCTCCGCGATCCCACTTCAGAGCCCTAAGCACATGACTAACCAGAAGATATGTGATTAGATTAAAATACCCATTCTTGTCGTTACCTAAAAATTCACCAGCCTCCGCGATCCCACTTCAGAGCCCTAAGCACATGACTAACCAGAAGATATGTGATTAGATTAAAATACCCATTCTTCTGCTTTTACTCTTATGCCAAATTTTCCTTTTGATGGTTAAAAAATGACTTAAATAATTCTAAATCATCTTAATTCTTTTTAATAAGCTTTTTGTTACATATCAAACTTTCCTTGGGACTCTCCAAATTCTTCTTCTTTTTCTCTGCTTGGAAAGTATTATTTTTTTTCAATCAATGCATCACATATATATTCATAACCAGTCATTGTATTTGTCTTTATACCAGCCATTTCATATATGTCCTAATTTTTCCTTCATACCTCATGCTATTTTTTCCACCTGTTCCTTACTCTTACTTTTCTTACACACTTACAAGATGTAATCCTCTGAATTCATTTTTTAGCCACACCAAGCCTTCCCTTTCTGTTAACTTCTTACTCCAATTTTAGTGTCCAGGGGGCCAGGCAAGCTCATACTCACCCCTCATCACAAAGGAAGGACACTTTTGCTCCAAGCTGGAAGTTAAGTGGAAAGAGCACACGGCCATTAGGAAGTTGGTCCTTGAAGGCAGCACATGATTTCACTACAGAAAAATAAATGAGGAGTAAGACCGCCATGTGAGGTGCAAAGACATTCATCTGCAGAAAGGATGAGAGTGAGTGTAGGCACCTGCGCATGTGGGGGCGGCCGGGCTCCAGTCTCCCCGGGGCGAACAGCGCAGAGAGGCGGCCCCTCTGAGGTCATAGCCAGGCTCACAGCTGTAGAGCACCTCCTGCCCAGGGGAAAAGCTGTCCTTGTCGCTGGGGCTGTGCTGGCCATGCAGGATTTCTGGGGGCCGCTGACAAACTGGGGGAAGAACAGGCACAGCGTTCCTGTCAGTTATGGGGGAATATTCTTTGCTAAATCTTAACTCATCCACGGAGTCAGAAACTCATAGGTAGAGGGGTCCCGGTCTAACAAAGGGTCTCACACACATGCATTCTATTCCTGGCACGTGATTTGGACAATTTCTTTAACCTCTGAAAGACCAAGCTAACTGCACTGTCAGATGGATAAGAGAATAGCACTATTTCTGAGGAGGATTGTACAGAGACGATGAGATAAAGCACAGAGAGTGCTCATTACACAGCTGACCAGAAGGCTCCCATCCTTTTTCTAACTAACTGAGAGCTGGTGCTTTGCCCTGAGAATTACTCAGTAGGAGTCTCCCCAATGTCCCCTTCCCTGATGAATTAGGCTCTTGCTTTTCAGGATGAAGGCACACTCACTGGAGTGAGGGCACCCACACACCTTCTTCCTTTCATGCTTCATGCTTCACCCCTAGAAAATGTACTCACACTGCTCACCACACATCTCCCTCCCAGAACAAACACTAATCTGGGGGGCCTCCCACAGCTCCTGTCACCTGCAGGCCCCCTCGAAGCTTTAGTCAGACTCACCTGGGGAGCAGCTGGGCAACTCGGGCTCCCATCTGTTTTGGGCCTGGCAGCGCACACTGGAGGGGCCTTTCATGACAAAGCCAGGCTGACACCTAAACCTCACGATGTCATTCAAGGAGAACAAGCTTCTGTTCTCAGACTCCCTTATTCCATTTTCAACGTGCGGAGGCGTGCATTTATTAGGTACGATGCACTGAGGGGCAGGGCCGCTCCAGAGGCCCACTTGATCTTTGCTGGTGCAATATATTGACTTCTCGCCCACGAGTTCAAACTTTTCCCTTCCTTTTCTGTCACTGCAGTGATAGGTCACCACTATTCCGTATGGAAAATCGTCTCCGCTGTTGCCAAGGAAATATCCGTTGGTGATGGTTGGTGGTGGCTTACATTGAATAACTGGGAAAAGGAAAAACCATTTAAATGATAGTGAATTGAAATAACTACTGAGAGCAAACCAATGTCACTAAACTGTTAGTATTTTTACACTGGTTATTTGCTTTTAATATTTGCTAACAGGTAGATTAGGTTTTCCAAAGTAGGTGGTCATAATAAAAAGCATAATTCTGCTTTTTCTACTTAGATTATTTCCTATGAACATATCCATATAGTAATACAATTCACATTTTTTCATTACAAATAACTCTTTGATTATATTATATCATAGTTTACACAGTTTCCCCCCTACTCTTTTCCAACTGCCTTCTTAATTTTTTATTTTTGTTATAAATGAGACTAGTATAGCTTTAAAAAAATAAAATCAAAATACCCTTAATAATAAAAAAAGTATAAGGAGAAAAAGCTAAAGGAGTTAATCACCACCAAACCAGTATTACATGAAATGTTGAAGGGTTTTCTTTAAGAAGAAGAAGAGGGAAAAGAAAAAAGATAAAACATATGAACAATAAAATGGCAACAAATACATATCTATCAACAGTTGAATCTAAAAATAAAAATAAACGAACAAACTAAAAAAGCAATCCCATTTACCATCGCACCAAAAAAATTAAGATACCTAGGAATAAACTTAACTAAAGGGTTAAAAGACCTGTACTCAGAAAACTACAGGACTCTGAAAAAAGAGTTTGAGGAAGACATAAACAGATAGAAGAACATACCGTGTTCACTGGTAGAATCAACATCATTAAAATGTCCATACTACCCAAAGCAATCTACACATTCAATGCACTCCCCATTAAAATACCAATGGCATATTTCACAAACTTAGAACCAACTCGCCAAAAATTCATCTGGAATAAAAAAAAAAAAAAAACC